AAAGAGAATCAATCAGGCAAGAATATACCTAAAGCACCGCAAAAAAGCAAAATAAACAATAAAAGTTGTATCGCAATGATCCAGTTCCAGACATGTGTAGTAGAAATATCCACATGATGACCGCCCCAAGAGGCGTTCACTGGAAATCCCCGCGACGATGGTTTCGCCGGCGCAGCAGAAGGAAAGTACTCGTAGAACCAGATCTACAAGGAGTTAAAAGTGTGAGTAAATGCTAAACTAATGTGTAGAGCTAAACTTTATAGGGAATCATGTTTACCTCTACGACCTTCCAAAAGACAGACAAAGCGACGTTCGTCCCATATGATCGGTGTCAACACGAGTCCCTCAGCGCACGAACGAAGTCAGCATAGGCCAAGCTGACCCAGTCATAAGTCCCGATCCGGTGAAGATCACGGACAGCAGGAAGATAGTAAAGCAACGCCCTACTACCTTTGTCAGGGGAGAATGTCCCTGACAACAACATCAGCGCAAAGATGCGCACCCGCTGCTCTTGGGTGGTCGCATCGTCATCAAGAGCCGCTGCCAGTGTCGAGCGGCGAATTCCCCTAGCGCTAAACTGAGTCGTCTCGACCTCAGCTCGGGCCCGAATAGTGGTCGGCCCCAACAGCTCCTCGACCTCCGAAGAAAAGACGTCGATTCCACTGTCAAACGGCAGTGGCACAGAAGTGAACTCCAGTCGTGTGATGAGACTGAAGTCCGTAGGGGTGACCATCATCTCGCCCCAGGGGAAATGGAAGGTGTTGGTTGTGTCCTAGAAGAACTCCACCAAAGCGCGCACTACATGGTGACCCCCGCTGGAGGCAACCATAGCCTCGGAGGTCTTGAACAGAGTAGCTAGTCCGCAAGACTCCCATAGGAGTCTCGTCTCAAGATCCTTGGCGATGTACATCCTGTACCAATCGCCCAAACCATCACAGGCGGAGCCATGATGCCGCGTCCTCCCGGGCGTGATGCCCCGTCTCATCCTCTCAGAAATGTGGTGGACGGGGGCGAAGAACAAGGTCTGCTCGTCCCACTCTGGAAGTCGACCAAGCGAAGTGGACGGCTCGGCGTCGTCCTCCGCGGGCTCATGCTCTCGTCTAGTGTTTCGGGACCGTGAACCCGAGCCTCGTTTTCTAGCCATGCTACATTGTGCAAAATCATCATAAATTAAGATTCTATTGTATCTAAGGTTGCCTAGCCGCATGATACTATGTTCGCAAAAACAAAGTACGTAGTACTAAAAACAGGGCACAAATTCGAATTGAGCATAACGGCATTTTTCAAGCAATCAAACAATTTCTTGCAACACTATAGTAATTATTATGACAAATTGAACAAGAATTGCTAGCAAAAACATCAAGAACGAGTCAAATTGTTCTTCACGACCTTAAGAGGTCCAACAATGGCGAATTGCTCATTTCTTCACCAAATTGAGTCAAACAAGTCTCAAATTACTCTCAAGGCAATATATAAACATAATCAAGCGATTTCATGGCATAAAACTTGACAAACAAAGCGAATTGAGCATTATAAATTTCGAATTTTCATGAAATTCACGAATAAACATGCAAAAAACTCATAAAAACCGATGTGAGTTTGAAGAAAACTTACATAGATCGGGAAAATATATGAAAAGAGCTTTGATTTGCAAGAAATTTGAGCAAATTCAGTTGAGAAACGAGCAAGAACCGAGCAATTGAAGTTTACGGATTTTTTCGAGCAAATTCACGACGAACAGCCAGCGAAATGAAGAGGAAAGGGGTATTTAAGGAAATCCCCGTGCTAGAGCCAAGACCAATGCATTGGCGTCACAAATTAGGCTTGGCGCCTGGCGCCAATATCAGCGTCTTGCGCTAAAGCTAAATGAGTGGCGCTGATGGTTTTTCAGTGGCGCCAGATCACCCAGCCACCTGATGGGGTTGTTCTACCTTTCTGCAACATATTTTTGGGTTCCTTGGTACGCCAGTTAGCCCCTCTAAGAAATTTGACATGATTTGGTAATCGGCTTGATTACACAAAGTGATCGACCTGATAAGAGATCGTCTCACTTAGCTTAAAGCGCCTAAGCGTTGGCTCACTAACAGAAAGCACCGACATATAGGTTCAAAAGCAAAAGGGCACCGACGTACAGGTTCAAAGCAACAGAAGTGCCGATGTATATGCATAGCGGGAGCCAAGTTCAGTCGAACTTTTAAAGATCGACAGGCGTGGATCTTCAGTAATTTCCTTTGAAAAATTATCGCATCAAAATGAGGATGACTTCAAGAGAGGATATCTTCGACAGCGTTCCCCAGCTTGCGGAGGGTTGTCACAAACAACTAGAGGTAATTTTGGGCGAAGTTGTCTTCGATCATATTCCCTTAGGCATGGAAGATGGTCATAATGCGGATGAAGATTGTTTTAAGAGAAATAATCTTCGATAGTATTCCTTTGGACGCGGAATATTATCAATGCAGATGAGGATTTGTTTCAAGAGAAGCAATCTTCGATAGTATTCCCTAGGACGTGGAATATTATCAATGCGGAGGAGGATCGTTTCAGGCGAAGCAATCTTCCAAATTGGAAGCAGTTACAGGCGTAGCGGTTTTCAAGCGGGATGACATTCTCTAGCTTGTAGGAGGTCATCAAAACAACAACGATACAGCAGCAAATCAGTTACTTTCAGAGACGTGTTCTCGACGGTGCAAGATACCTGAAAGTAACAAGATTGGTGCAAGATACTCTTTTATCTATTTTAACTAACGTTAGTTTGCATGTATCGGCGTTACAAGATTGGTTTAGGATCGCAGAACGTTCTGAATCATTCTCCGTCCCTATCGATACTTTGACTTTTGTATCCGAAACTTGTATTTTTCCAAACTCAGTCAAAGTGGGAGCTTTTGTAGACACCCATTTGTGTCTCCCCAAAACCTAACCCAGTGATGAGTACCTTTCGCGTCGAATCATAATTGAATGAAGCAAAAGTGTGGAAAGTCTAGTGTTGCGGAAAGTTTTCTTTTCTCTTCTCTTTGTTTTTGAAAACTTATTTTAAGAAAATAGCCAATCTAGTTTGGTTGGTCCATGATATGGGTCCAATAATAGTGTAGTTGGATGGGGCTTGAGAAGACCTTTTCAACGATATATTATAAGCCCAATTCCGATGAATATTGAGGAAATTATGGCCAATTTACTAAACTGGGCCCGATTTGAGCCTTATATGCGGCCCAATGATCTTGGGGAGGGACTAATATGATTTATCATTCCTAATGCAATTAGGAATGATTTTAGACTTCTAGAATCTTCTAGAAGGTTCTTTTCATTCCTAATTCAATTAGCATTCATGAATTGACTTTTTCACTTTTCAGAGTTTTAATTAAAATCAAATAGCATTTTTGAGGAAATTATATGATTTTATCCTCCAGTACGGCAAACTTATCTGATTTTTGAAAACGCGTTAAAATTAGGCTTGGCCCCTAACCCTAGACCTTGGCGCCTGACGCTAGCCACTGGCGCCTGGCGCTAGTGTTGGTGCCTGGCGCCAGTTAGCCAGGGTTGGCGCCAACTCTGTTTTTTGTGCTTCAGACTTTGTTTTGTTTATTTTATCCTTTTGGCTAATTTTCTCTATAAATATCGTATTGAAAACTCCGTTTTCATTCATCAATTATCACCAATATTCATCAATCTTCACCAATTTTCACCAATTCTCACGATCATTGATCTACAATTAGTTTTAGTTAGCATTCTTTAATCTTTCATCTCTTCCTTTATTTTATTCTAAACTTTGTTTTGAATACAAAATTCCGCATTCACAAGATCTAGAAACACCCAGCCTTATTCGAAGTTGCCTTCGCCCTAGACGTGAAAGGTTTTAATTTACGGATATTTCATCAAATGCCACTGACAAATTTAAAAATTCATCAAATGCCATTGCACTTTTCAGAATTCACCAAATGCCACTCACAAATAGTAAAATGTCACATCGTGCCATTAATGAGGCCTGGACGTTAACAGTCCGTTATCACGAAATGACCTCTATGCCCTTATTGTCTTTTATGGCGCCCTAAAGTGCATTGACTCTCTGACTTCTAAAATTTAGATAAAAAAAAATAAAAAAAATTCCCTCGTTGTTCTTCTTAAACCTTCCCCTGTTCGTCGAGCTTTCAGCAACACTCAGACCTTCAAACCATAATCAAGGAAGAAGCTTTCTTCGAACACCTGAACGACAGACGCAACTACATTGACGCTTTATCGTTTGTTGAACTTGGGCGAACTTGAAAATCGGTGAATTATACTCGAGGTACTACAAGGAAAATAGTTGAGTTCAAATTTTTTTTGGGGTGCTGGAAATAGCAATCAATGTATTATTTTCCCTTTCGATCTTCATTTCGCGCTTTGATTCTGAATTTTTTATCGAAAATTGAGTTAGGGTTAGGGTTTTATGAAATGATCAGTTTTATGCGCTTATTTGACTTGACCTGTGTGATTTATTGTTAAAATTCATGTTAAAGATGGTTATTTGTGGGTATTGATTTTGCATTGATATGAATTTTGGGTTTGTGAAGTGCTTGAAATTCAATTTGGTCAATGTTGTGTTGGTATGTTGTTTTGTGATACGACTGATGTGTTGGTATATGGTTGTGAATTTGAATGATGTGTGTTGATGTTATGTGTAATTTGTTGATGATAGGATGAGTAGAGTGTGGCTTGATGTCCATTACAGAGATCAAGGCTTTGATGTGTTGGTTGATGATACTGACAGAACAAGTCTAATGGACTTGTATGCGTTTATGTTTGAGGATTCTGTGAAACAAAATGTGATTCTTCCCAAATGCTTCACTTTGTTTGTATTGCCACCTAGAACTAATAGGAATTTGGAGTTAGCTGGGGATAGGGACATGCTTAAAATGTTGGAGTGGTTTCAAGGGAAGGAGACAGTAGAAATATTCTTAGAGGAATAGCAAAGTCCTAGGCAGGTGTTTAAGGATGCTGAGGCTAATTGGCAAAGAAGGGTTAAGGCCATGGCTGATAAAGCTAGATTGGAGGAGGAAAAGGCCAAGGCTGAGAGAGAGTTAGAGGAACAACAACCTTTTAAAGTTGTAGTTGAGGTGCCTGTTGCTAATGTTGATGGTGGTGATATGGAGTATGTTAGAGAGTTTGACACTCCAGAAGCTGATGAGGTATTCCCAGGGGCATCTCAGCCTGAGCCTGAACAGAGTACTCAGCCTTCCACTCCACCTAAACACCCTCAACAAACTTCTCCTATGAACCAGCCCAAATCTTCAAGTGCAAGAAAAAAAACGACTCCTCAAAAAAGGAAAAAACAACACCCAAAAAAAGGTCAACTGGAAGAACCCAACTCTCCCCTCAACCACAAATAACCCCAACACCTGAACCACCACTTTCTCCTGAACCAAGAACAACTCCACCACCTCAATCACCTGAAGCTGCAGTTGAACTTGAAGCAGGAACATCTGAACCTCCACCACCTCCACCACCTAAGAAATCCAAAAAGGTGGGAAGGTCAAGACCACTAGGGTTCAGAACAAAAAAGAAGAGTGGGAAAGGGGTTGATGGGGGAAGCTATGAGAGGGTCAGTTTAAGGAGATCTAAAAGAATTAGGAGGGATCCAACTAGGGTTGACAGTAGTGAGGATGATAGATCTGATGATGATGACAGTGAGGACTCAGATTACATAGAATCTGGTAGTGAAGACTTTGATGATGCTGATGATCTTGGGGACTTCATAGAAGAAGAGGAACAATATGAATTCTTGTATGATGACATCCTAGACAAATAATTTGAAGATTATCTTGATGGGAGCCAAGCAATGGATAAAACATACAAGAATGGCAAGGTTTGGAGACACTGTGAATTTGGTAGCATTACACTAGAGCCATGGCTGGTTTTTCTAGACAAACAGTCATTCACTGAAGTTATTAAGAATTTTTGTGTACAAGAAGGGTTTGGAGTCTTTCTTGAAAAGAGTGACCCTCAAAGGTTTATAGCAAGATGTGCTATTGATGGCTGCAACTGGAGAATTCATGCTTCAACAATGCCTGACAAAGTCAGTTGGGCAATCAAGACATTGACAGGGGAGCATGCAACCTGTGGCAGGCTTGAGGTAAACCCTGTTGTTAGCTGTGATTGGCTTTGCAGACATCTGCAGTCACATATTCAAGCCAATCCAGACATTCCAGTAGAGTCTTTGCAAAGAATATGTATGGAAAGGTACAGAATTCATGTGAAAAAAGGTTGTTTTACAAGGTGAAAGCAGTTTCCAAGGAGATGATTCATGGTGGCTTTGGAGAGGCATACAGTCTCCTTCCAAGATATGCTGAGATGGTGAAAGAGACCAATCCAGGAAGTTATGCACTAGTGACATGGACACAGTTATCTGCAAATGTCCAACCTAGGTTCAAGGCATGCTTCTTCTCCTTTGCTGCCCAAGTTAGAGGCTTTTTGAGAGGGTGTAGGCCTATCATTGGCATTGATGGGGCCCATCTAAGTGGTTATTATAAGGGGATTCTGCTAACAGCAGTTGGAATTGATGGGAACAATGAGATCTTTGTGTTTGCTTATGGCATTAGTAAGCACAGAGAGTGTTGAGACTTGGGGTTATTTTATGAGGAATTTGAAGTGCCTTTTTCAAAAAGAGGGATGCAACAGAGATGATTGGACTTTTATCTCTGACAGGATGAAGGTAACTCTCAATTTGCTGTGATTTTTTATTTCCAAAGGGCAAAGTTCGTCCTTCTGACTAGTTACATTCCTATGCAGGGAGTTGACGCAACAATTATGGAGACTTTCCCTAAAGCTAGTAGAAGAATATGTTGTCAACACTTGTACAACAACTGCAAAACAAATGGTTTTAGTGGAACAGCTTTTCACAAGCTCTTTTGGGTTGCTGCTGATGATTACAATCCATATGTCTTCAACAAAGAAGTGGAGAACATTCATGCCTACAATCCAAAGGCTGTTGATTACTTGAACAGCACCACTGAGGTTTGGTCAAGGCATCAGTTTGAGCCAGCAATTTGTTGTGACCATAACACAACAAATTTTGTGGAATCATTCAACTCTTGCACCAATCCATACAGAGATCTACCTGTGTTAAAAGCTACTTGAAGGTTTAAAATTGAATTTGCTCTGTTGTTAAGTCAGTTTCTAAATGCAATTTCTACCTTTCTTTGCTGTAATTTCTATATTGATTTCTATTTTGCAGCTATTAGGCAATGGTGCATGAGTAGGATGGCTCCAAGGTTTGATAAAGCAACATCAATGGGAGATGGGGAGCTAACTGAGTATGCTACTAAGATCTTGCAAACAAGATCAGATGAGTCTGGGTTCTGCTATGCTACACCATGTGGGGGTGATGAGTTTGAGGTGAGGGATCAACATGTGCACTTTCCCATTAAACTTGGGGCTGGAACTTGTGGTTGTGGAAAGTGGCAACTTTCAGGGATCCCCTGTAAGCATGTGCTTAGGGTGATTTACCACCAAAGGCTGCAGGCTGTAGATTTTGTGTCACCTTATTTCAAAGGGAGGGCATACAAAAGCACTTATGCTGAGCATATGCACCCAATGCCTGACCAAACCCAGTGGCCTTCTTTCAACCTGCCTGACATACTACCACCCCCAGTGAAACGATCTGCAGGCAGACCTAAGAAGCAGAGAAGAAGAGGTGCAAGTGAAGCAAGAAAAGGGAGGAGGCATAGCATAGTTAAGTGCAGCCTATGCAAGGAGTTGGGGCACAACATGTTGACATGTGTTGCAAAGAAAAAGATTGCAGCAGCTGAAGCAACAACTGCAGCAACCAACAATAATGCAAAAGCTGAAGCAAGCACTTCAAGGTCCAAGAAGAGAGCAAAGAAAGCTGCTTGAGCTCCAAACCCCTACACTTTTCACTGCACAGCAACCTAAGTTAATGTAGTCTAGTTGTTGAACAATATAATTCCAATGTGTGCTGTGTTTGGATGGTATTTTTTTGGGAAATATTGTGTAAACTTTAGACAAATACATTGGCAACAGTGGCATTAATTTTTTGGATGAACAGTGCCCTTATTTTTTGGATGAACATGATTGAAACAGGAAGAAATATATGGAAGACATGTTCAAGTAAACACTTTATTCAATTTCATCTCAATTACATGTTGTTCACTTCATCAATACACCTAATTTCAAAACAGAATTTAAAAGTTTTTTAAAGGCTTACATTTATACAAGAATGTGTGTGCAACGGCTACTTTGCCCCATCAATAATTCAAAATTGTTAAAAAAAAAATAGTCGTTACTTTAGAGGTATATTGTGTAATAACTTTAATAAGCAATGGTATTTGGTGAAATTAGAAAATATTCAGTGGCATTTGGTGAATTAGGAATCCCATTAACGGACTGTTAACGTCCAGGCCTCATTAATGGCACGATGTGACATTTTACTATTTGTGAGTGGCATTTGGTGAATTCTGAAAAGTGCAATGGCATTTGATGAATTTTTAAATTTGTCATTGGCATTTGATGAAATATCTGTTTAATTTATGAGGATCTGGTCCCAAATCTCTATTTCAATTATCTAATTTGATTGTTTTGATTATTATTTTCCTTGAAGTTACTAACGTGTGTATTTTGTTATTAGAAAGAGATACGACGCATCAAAGTAAGTACTTTAATTGATTTAATTGATGTTATGATGTAGAAATCATGTTTATATTGTTGTTATGATATTCCTAGTATCATGTCTAGGGTATTTTTAATATTAAATATGATTGCTATGATGCCTTTTATTCTCTTCCTAATATTTATGATTGTTAGTATCATGTTAGGGTTAAAGATTTGATTTTTAATGCTTAGTGACATGTTAGGGTTTGTTTTTAATCTTGTTAGTATCATGCCTAGGATCTTGCTATGTCTATTATGCTCTAATATTAACATGAACATGATTATGATTATGATTGTTATAATTTATGATGATTATGAATATAATTAATATTATTTTGATGATGATTATTTTATTTATAACTATTATTCATGATGTTGATTATTTATTATGTTCCTTGATTATATTTATTGTTATTGCTTGATCGCCTTTTATGCATGTTTAAAGGGAATTTGTACTTGTAATCACGCTTAATAAGATATTAATAATCTTGTTAGGGTTAATATGATTATAAATTCAAGTGATCGCCAATAATAGATTTGTTTGTGCATTAAATTCAACCAACATAGATTAAACAGGTTTAGGGTTAATCCTATTGATTGCATGTTAATCAAAAAGCGCACATAAATATGATCAGAATAAAGTAGAGGCCTATTATTAAGGCAGGTTCAATCTCTTTTAGGTTGGATTTGTACCTTCATCCCCGAACCCTTATTTGGTTCAATACCTTATGGAGTTGACGATCTCTTGGATCGTTAAGTGGTGTAACCTTCACCTTGTGAATGGTTTACAAGTTCCTAAAAAACTTGTTGGCGACTCTTTTGCTCTATCTTCTTCCCTTTTGGACGCCACCGTACTTTAGTGTATGATCACAGTGGAGTTCAAGATAGTGGGATTAAAGCTTGAAATTATTCCCTACAAAACCCAAAATAATTCATTTCGTTTCCTTTAAAATAATTCATTTCGAGTCCTTTAAAATCATTCGTTTCGTGTCCTTTTTATAAAACGTTTAATCCATTTTATTTTGGTCCATAATCTGGGTCTAATGATTTAATATTTTGATGGGGCTTTAAAAGAGATTTCCACCGATATATTATAAGCCAAATCCGAGTTATAACGAATAAGTTATTGCCAAAATATTAAACTAAGCCCAAACCGAACCTAAGCCCACCTTACCTACGACCCAATGATCATGTGGAGGGTCAAAATTATTTAATCACATTCCTAAATCAATTAGGATTAATTAGAAACTTCTATAATTTTCTAAAAGATCTTAATTATCCGTTTTGAAAAGATAAGATTAAAGAGTTTGAATAAAACTTTTCTTTTTGAAAATCCTATATATATCCGAATTGAAAGATGTTCAAAGATAGACAGATATTATTTTCTTGCCTCATATTTTTTATCCAAATTTTATATGGTTGGATATCCCTTGAAATTATCTTTCCAATGCTATATTATAATATCAATTCCGAGCTATAACGGAAAAGATATGAATAAAATGTCAAACTCTATCCGAAACTGACACCATCTCACTATTTCGGTCATATCTTTTATTCTATAGAAATTTTAATCTGATTCTAATTGGTTAAGGAAATTAAAATTAAAGATCTTTCCAACGATATCTTATTCATCTTATTCCAATTTCTGGATCTAAAGATACGATAAAAACAAAAAACGCAAAAACTGGTGTTTATCGCAAGAGTTTTATCTGATTCGAATTCTTATCTTATTTTGATTCTTCGAGCATTTGTTGCCTTTGTTGTTGCCTTTGTTGTCCCTTATTTGTGGTTGCCTTTTTTTGATCCGTGAACGGTTTACAAGTTCCTTAGAAACTTGTTGGCGGCTCCCTATTTTATTTGTCCCTAATCGTATTATGTCAATTCCCACTTCCTAAGAGTGCCAAGCATATTCACAACATGCTTTAACATAGGCGCACTTCGATCGACGCCTACACTATTAATATTATGCTTTAACATGATTGAGATTGTTATTATGATTATTTTGATGATTATTATTATGATTATGTTGCTTGATGTTTATTATTGTTATTGCTTGATCACGCCTTTTATGCATGTTTAAAGGGAATTTGTGCGTGACGATATGCTTATATGTGGATTTTTTTATTGACTTTTTTTAATTATTTTTTTCTCTTATCAAACCCTTCTTTTTTATTGATCATGCCTTTTATGCATTTCATTTTTCACGTCTTTCTTTTTCGGGAGAAAGTCGGCACCCTCCACTCGTCTCATGACAAAAATGCAGAAAAATTTTTGATTTTGCATTTTCGGTTGCTTGTGTATTCACACTTACACCATAGATATACACACACAATCACAAGTCATACACATGTCGTATCAAGTCAAAGCTTGGTCAAGTCAGTTGGTCAAGTCAATCATAGTCTATACGAGTCCCTTGGCAAATTTTATTTTGCAGGTCTCAACTACAACCCACGTCCGGGGACAAGCGCACCAACTACAACCCACGTCCGGGGACAAGGGGACCATCTACAGCCCACGTCCGGGGACAAGCGGACCATTTACAGCCCACGTCCGGGGACAAGCAGACCATACAGCCAGCCCACGTCCGGGGATAAGCAGACCATCTACAGCCCACGTCCGGGGACAAGCGGACCATTTACAGCCCACGTCCGGGGACAAGCGGACCATCTACAGCCCACGTTTGGGGACAAGCGAACCATCTACAACCCACGTTCGGGGACAATCGAACCACCATCATTTCATGACGTAAGGTTCTCGATACACAGAGCCTTGCAATCTCATCATCTGTCAACTTTCCTCAAGCACAGAAAGCAATATCGGTGGATTTCTTCAAGCATAGAAAAAGCCAAAATCATATGTCGACTTTCCTCAAGCATGGAAAGTGTCATCCGTTAGGTTTCTTCAGGCTTAGAAAACTACCACACTCATCTGTCGGCTTTCCTCAAGCATTAAAAGCGTTTCAAAAAACGTCATCCGGTGGATTCCTTCAAGCATAGGAAGCTGCCAAATTCATTTGTCACCAATACACTTGTGCCAGATACGTATTCTATCCTTTTACTCTTTTATCTTTGTAATTAACATTTTTCTGCAGGTATAGGCGTATACAGAGTGATTTAGGATCGGAGAACGTCTTAAATCATTCTCCGTCCCTATCGACTACTTTGACTATCATTTTCAAAACTGACGTTTCTACAAACTCATTCAAAGTGGGGGCTTCTGTAGACACCTAAAATGTCTCCCAAAATCCAAATCCGATGATGAACAACCTTTCACCGCCATTATTGGTCGGGTTAAGTATTTAATCTTGAAGTGCTTAAATCTATATTCAATCCCAATACATTTCATAAACCAACCCAACTCATAGCCCATTTCCCAAAACCATAAATTATTTTTCTCTTTTCGTGCCTTTAAACCCAAAATAATTCATTTCGTGTCCTTTAAATCATTCATTTCGTGTCCTTTTTATAAAACATTTAATCCATTTTATTTTGTCCATAATCTGGGTCCAATGATTTAATATTTGGATGGGGCTTTAAAAGAGCTTTCCAACGATATATTATAAGCCAAAATCCGAGTGATAACGAATAAGTTTTGGCAAAAATATTAAACTAAACCCAAACCGAACCTAAGCCCACCTTACCTACAACCCAATGATCATGTGGAGGGTCCAAATTATTTAATCTCATTCCTAAAACAATTATAATTAATTAGAAACTTCTATAATTTTCTAAAAGGTCTTAAATATCCGTTTTGAAAAGATAAGATTAAAGAGTTTGAAATTGAATAAAACTTTTCTTTTCGAAAATCCTATTTCTATCCGAATTGAAAGATGTTCAAATATAGACAGATATTATTTTCTTTCCTCATATTTTTTATCCAAATTTTTTATGGTTGGACAGCCTTGAAATTATCTTTCTAATGATATATTATAATATCAATTCCGAGCTATACCGGAAAAGATATGAATAAAATGTCAAACTCTATCCGAAACTGACACCGTCTCACTATTTCGTCCATATCTTTTAATATATAAAATATATTAATCTGATTTCAATTGGTTTAGAAAGTAGATTTCAAGATCTTTCCAACGATATCTTATTCATCTTATTCCAATTTCTGGATCAAACGATATGATAAAAACAAAAACAGCAAAAACTGGTGTTTATCGCAAGAGTTTTATCCGATTCGAATTCTTATCTTATTTTGATTCTTCGAGCCTTCTTTTT